CCAATTTTAACAAGACTTCTTTCCAGTATGTTTTAAAATTATTTTGTTAACAAGACTTCAATTACAAAGAAAAGACTGCAAATTATCCTGTTTCCTTCCATATTATACACACTATAGTCCCTACTTCTATTTTTCTCATAGCACATGTAATTCTTTACTATGATGCTTTCACCACTATGTACAACTGTTCAATGAAAATACTTGGTTTTCATATTCTAAGTGTTTTTTGACATTGGAGTTTTAAAAAGTTACAAAAAACTGTTGTCAAAAAACTGAATATTCTCAACTACAACATATTAATATAAAAGGGTGCATTTCAAATTTCCCAGAAGAATTTTAAAAATAAAAAATTAAGTCTGTAATTTTAATGTAGTAATCAGACTTATGAATCAAATCTTTAGTGGTCACAGGCAGATGGATATTGGGGTAGGGCATGGAACTTATAGATTGCAGGATCTGATGGGAGGTTTTGATGGGGGTTTTGGTGGGGGACTGACTGAAGGAGTTTTCCCTGCTGGTCAGCAACATGATTTGCTTGGGAGGGGGGCAGGCAATAGATTCAGAATCCATGCCTGGTGCATGCAGGGGCTTTTTGGAGCCCACTACCTATGATGGGACACCTCATGCAGCCTTGAGGCAGGGGGAAGGACTTGGACTTGCCTCTACTGGATGTGCCTTTCCATGGGAGGCCTTGTCTTCTAGTGAGGGGAGTAGGGAATGGGTTGAGGGGAGAGACTGGGGGGACAGGAGGAGGGAGGAGGGGGATCTTTGATTGGTGTGTAAAATGAATGAAAATTTTTTTTAATAAAAACATCTTTAGTGGGCAATAGAAAAAAGTATGTATTTATTTCTAAGAAAAAGTCAATCAAAAGATTGGAAAGGTTTTAGTTAGTGAGAACACGGAAGACACATAGTCTGGCATTGTTTATTACTCAGACTATGGCTTACATATTTTGATGGGAATCAGCACCTCAAAGGTGTGCACAGTTCTGCTGACCCTGCTCTCTAAAGTTTAGTTCTCATTGATCTTCAAGGTCCAAAGACAAAGAGGATCAGAAAACAATACCCTGCCAGAATAAGGTCTCAGTTCAAGTGTATTTCACTTAGGGAGGATAGCAATTGTGAAAAAAAAAAGAAAGAACAAAACTCTAGACCCACTGTATATAAGCAATTATTAAATTATTATATTAAGTAATTATTTTATTGTTTGTACAACATATTATTACTAATTCTGACAAAGGAAACATCATGATTAGTGACCCACCATAGCGACATCACCACATATCCTCCCATTGAGCCTAAGCTTTATGAAAGGGACACATTACCTTTCCCTGTGGACAGACCAGGGAGCTGTTCTTTGCTGAGGAGTCAGAGACAAGCTGGGATGTTCACTGAAGCTGCCATCTCTTGTTTCCTCCCACATCTTGCCCTCTGTGAGGTACATATCCAGTGTATCTCTAGTTTTTTCCCACATCCTGAGACTTTCCACTTGTGTCAGGCTGCACATATACCTGTTTCAAATAACTGAAATAAATTATTACCCTTAGAAAACCCTTAATGACACTGATGGAACACAACCAGAACCCAAGAGAGATGGACTGGTCTGAATCATCTCTTGTTAGTCTATGTGCAAGAAGGCTGATTCTCCTCTAAGTGAACTTTTAGGGGAGAATCTC